CCGGTCCCCCAGCTGACGGCAACGGCAACATCAAGGACGTGATCGTCAACAGCGATCTCACATGCAGCAATGGCTGGGTGTGCGAGCACCGCTGGAGGCAGATTTACAACATGGTGGCCTTCAAGAAGACCACGGAATGTAAGTGTGTTTTGCTTCCAATTCTAGACAAAGCTTTAGCTTTATTTAGTTAGAACGAGAAGTATAATTCTAAAAAATGCGTTTCAGTCACTGACGTGCTGAACTGGTGGGACAACGGAAACAACCAGATCGCTTTCTCACGCGGAAACAAGGGCTTCATTGCCTTCAACAAAGACTCCTACAACCTGGCTCAGACTTTGCAGGTAAGGAATGATGTCAAACAGCCTTTGGATCCTCTGTTGAGGCAAGTTTGTCCACAGTTGTTCCTCCAGATTATGGAGGTTGATACTTCGAGGGGGTTCTCCAATGGCATCCCACACGGGATAGAGAGCTCCGGTGATCTTGCTGACCACGGGTAGACCTCAAGCTGCTCTAGCCAGTCCACAGACACGTGTTGTTTGTATCCGTGTATTATCTTTTTGGAATAGTGTCCCAGGGTGCTGTGTCATAAGGGGTAGGACGTGTAAACGCAAAATGCCTGTAACGGTGCGCCGTGTCCGAAATGTCTGCCGAAACACTATTAGAGGCGTTTTGAACGCATACCAGATGGCTCCGCACCCCATCGTGCTCGGGATTACCTCAGCGTGTCTCCACATTTTGCGTAGGATGTGCACCCTGCCTTTCACTCAGCCACACTCGAACACGATAGTCATGGGAATTTATGGCGAAGAGGGGCTCATCACTGAACATGATGCGTCGTCATTCGTTTGCTGTCCGGGAACGGCACCAATCCAAACGCCGACGTCAATGTTCTTGTGATAATGGCAACCGACGACGGGGCAGTGGGCTCCAGCCTTGCGGATGCGGATCGTCGAGCCACTGTGCACTCATAGGCCGTGGTAGATTTGCTAGTACATGCTCGCAGGGTGTGGGGGCCGCATCATATTTCGCAATGTTTGGCGCACCCTGGTGTTGTGTTTCTGGATCGACTTGAGTTTGCATGTCGTGAATAGGTGTCCTTATGTACCCATTGATTCCAACACCGGCCACTCCGACATCTGAATGGGCCATATGCCTGGCAATTTCACGACCAACTCGCGAGACAAACCGGCCGCAAGTCGTTCCACAATGCTGCCTCTGTCAAATCCATCAATTGGTGGATAGACTGTCGATCGCGTCTGCATGGCATTGTGGGTGATTCTTATTATAGGTAAATTTCGTTCTTCACTGTCTTACTCAAAGCAGTTCACTGATAAGAAACGCGCAACAGCAGTTTGGTGATAGCACATATGCACTCTGATGGGCGTTCTAAACATTGAAGATACGCGTAAATCTAATCATTTACTCACATATCAATAGAATACATATATACCAATTGGGATAATATTGGGCCTCTCTTTCTGTGTGCATCACTATCTTTATTGTCAGGCAATGTACATTCTATTATTGCACTGAGATATAGCAATACTATAATATAACACTTTTTATCTTCACAGACTGGTCTGCCGCAAGGCACCTATTGCGACCTCATCTCCGGCCTCAAGTCGGGCAGCAGCTGCACTGGAAAGATAGTCACTGTAGGCAGCGATGGAAAGGCGTACATTGAGATCAAGACTTCTGAAGCAGACGGTGTTCTCGCAATTACTGTGGATGTAAGTATGGATGTAGATGTAGTAGTGCACATTAATTTTGTTCTAACCATTAACTGATTTTGTGGTTATTCTCATTGATTTTGTTCCAGTCGAAGCTGTAATCTGGGATTTTTCTACACGTACTTCTGGCGGAAAAGCGTTGTTAGTTCAAGATCGCTAATACTGTTGTCATGTTTTGTTAAAAACAACGGTGCAAAATAAATTGCTTGAATTACTGAATTTTTGTTCGTATTCTATATCCTTAAAATGCAAATTCGTATGTACCTTATTTATACCTGTGTCTCTCTAGTGTGATAATTGTGCTATGTGTCTCCTTTTCTCTAAAATAAATATGAAATACAAATATAAGAGAAAGTTCCTATTTAACAACTGGTACTCAACAGTATATAGTTTCTCCTTTTAGTGATAACGATTACGTAATTCACTGAAGAGCCAAAAACCTGGTGCGGCGATGCGTATTGAAATAAAATGACCAGAAATCAATCGGAATACGGCGATACGGTCAGCAACGACTATATAAGACAACCAGAGTGTGGCACAATTGCTAGATCGGTTACTGCTGCTACAATGGCAGGTTATCACCACTTAAATGAGTTTGAACGTGGTTTTATAGACGGCGTAAGAGGTGAAGAATAGGATCTCCGACGTCGCGATGAAATTTGGATTTTCCCGTTCTATTTCACGTGTGGACCGTGAATATCGGGAATTTTGTAAAACATAAAACCTCCGGAATCGCTGGGGCTGCAAAAAGATGGTTCCAGGACGGGACCGACTACGACCGGAGAGAATCATTTCTCCTGACAGAAGTGCAACCCTTCTGCAAATTGCTGTAGATTTCAATGTTTGGCCATCGACAAGTGTCAGTGTGCGAACCATTCAACAGACAGTATCGAAATGAGGTTTGGAGTCAAAGGCCCACCTGTGTATCCCTGGTGACTGCACGACACAAAGATTTACGCCTCGCATGGGTCAGTCAACACCGATATTGGACTGTTGATGACTAGACAAACGTTTCCTGTTCTGCCGAGCCTCGTTTCACATTGTTTCGAGCAAATGGACGTTTCCGAATATGGCGACAACCTCATGAATCCATGGACCCTGCATATCAACAGATTGTTTAAGCTAGTGGATGCCCTTTTACGGTATGGGACGTGTGCAGTCGGAGTGATATGGAGCCGATTATACGTCTAGATATGACTCTAACAGGTGACACGTACATACGCAGTCTGGCGGGCCAGAATTGCTACAGAGTGGGTCCAGGAACACTTTTCTGAATTTTAGCACTTCCACTGGCCACGAAAAGTCCCAGACATGAACATTATTGTGCATATCTGGGATGCCTTGCAACTGCTGTTCAAAAGAGATCTCCTCCCCCTCGTATTCCTTCGAGTTTATAGACATCCCCGGAGGATTCATGGTGTTAATTACCTCCAGCACTATTTCAGACGTTAGTCGAGTCCATGTCACGTCATGTTGCAGCACTTTGCGTGCTCGCGGAGGCCCTACGCGATATTAGGCAGGTGTACAAGTTTTTTCGCTCGTCTGTGTATTAGAGTATTGAAATAATTGTCCAATAAATATTTCAGCCACCACTCGAAAAAATATCATTACCAGGCGAATGGTACGGAAATCGAACATAAAATTGTACTTCCGCATCCACGAAAAGATATAAAACATTACCCAGGAACGAAAAAGTAATGAAATCACAGCAGTAAGAATATCCTCAGCAAAGCATTATAAAGCCGAGTATGTACTCTTTTATCATTGAAATATTACTTCTCTGACTTGGTATGTGCGTTCGAAACTAATTATTTCAAACCAACCATTACACCAACATCTAATTTAATGTAGAAGAAAATAATATTAAAACCGTTAATTTATAGACCCAAACCTCCCGACTTAACAATGGTACCATACGGAGGTCATAGGACAAAAGTTATGGGATACCTCTTAATATCCTGTTGAGACTGCTTTGTGGGTGAAGCAACTCGACGTGGCATGGACTCTTACAAGTCATTGGAAGTCCATTGAGTTATGTTGACTAACTAGCCGTCTACAATATCGAAACGATGACATAGCGCATTGTCACCCATACAAACTCCAGCGTTGTTTGGGAACATGAAGTTCATGAATTGCTGAAAATGGTCTCCAAGTAGCTGAACGTAACCATTTCCTGTCAATGGTTGATTCACTTGTACCATAGGATCTAATCCATTCCGTGTAAAAACAGAAAGCAGTTTTCGAGCTACCCCCAGCACATGGTTTCGTGGCAATCGCACCACACTCGAACTCTACCTTCAGCTCTTACCAAGTGAAATCGGGACTCATCTGACCAACACCACTTTTACAGTCCGACAAACACAGTCTAATCATACACATTTAGTTGCAGATTCTGCACTCTCTGACCAGTCGGGTAACATTGAGAAGCGTCGGACCAGCCAAAATGCAATAGAATATTCAAGAAGATTTCATCTGCAAATTGCGGTGCGAGAACGTTCCTTTGAGGCCTTTAGCATCAAAATTTTAGTTTCTATTAACACGTATTTTAGTTTTTCTCTTTGTTCTTTTTCACATATTATAAGTTATTCTCCTACTCAGGGTGGAGAAAAATCCAACAAATCAGATATTATTAAAATTGGTCCAGCCGTTCTTATAAACGATGAAACTAACCCGACTTTGTTGTGACACAGACACCAAAAAACAGACGGACGGACGGACGTTTAAAAAATAACTTTTTCGGTATCTAGGGACTGCAAAACGTGTATTTCCGTTGAAATCTCAAAATCGATTGTCGCAGAATTCCATAACGTTCCCTGTAACTACGTATATTCGTACGTATACGGAAAGGTAAAAAGTAGGGAACAGACAGGACCTGTGAGGAACGAACGCACAAACTGAAAATATTTGAGAAAATTTTGAATTATTTTGAATAAATAAGTAGGAGTTTCAGTTTGGAGATTGATATAAATAAGATGCCAAATTTTGTTGAAAGATTTTTCAATGTCTTGTAATAATGTATGTTGTTTTACGTGAAATGAGTTTTCATTTTTTTCTGTTAGTCTTAAAAGTTGATATGTAGTTGTGTGCTGATAAGTGAAGCCAAATTAAGTGGGAGAAATAATTTTCCTAGTTGTAGTGAAGTGTAACAATTTGTGATGTATAAGAGTTTCAAATATCTTGGAAAGAGAGGAAAGTAAACGAATAGATCTTTAGTTAGATGTGTTCCGAGGATCATTTTGTAGTTTAAAAATGGTTTACGATTGATGTTTACTAGATAGATGGGAAGTATTTGGGAATTCCTGATACCGAAAATAGTTATTTACGTAACTAGTGGAAGGCGACACTCAGAAGGTTTGGCCCAAGAGAAGTTTAGTGATTTTGAGCTCTTGCTAGAATCATGCAAAGGAGGTTAAAACCATTTTAGTGTTTGAGACGAAAAATATGTCTTAGTTTGCTCTGGAACGATAAAAATAACACAATTACACAAGTCTGTTAGGAAATGATTGAACTTTTTAATTACGCGCTAATGGATATATTTAGAGACTTCCGATTAGCAGCATTGTGTTTCTCATAACCTCCTTTCTATCCACATGTTCTAGGATTCTTGATGACTTGTTTAGTTTTCGTGATGTTGTTGAGTGCAACATGTTTTAAGTGTAACTGCCGATTTTTGAAATGCATGATTTTCTGTCACAACGTCGCAACATAAAATTTTGTGTGAAACAGTGGAAAATTTGACAGAAACCTTTCAACTTTTGAAACAAGCTTATGGAGTACATTCTCTGAGTCGTACGCAATGTTACGAACAGTATTCACGATTAAAAAGTGATCGTCAGTCAGTTGAAGATGATCATCGACTACAAAGGCCTTTGATTTCAACTGACGATCAGAAAACAACGATCTGGTTCAGAAAATCAACGTTCATAAATACGTACAATCAATATTTTTAATGTTTATTATTTCTGGCTATCGTAAATAAAATATTTTTTGTGATGAAGTATTCTACATGTACTAATAATTATTGTTACTATTGCTAATTATTTTATAGTTCACGTCTGTAAGTTTGATATCCTTAATGAATAGTCTTTAGCAGTGAATTTTACTAATTATATTTCATTATTAATTCCTTATTTATTATATGGTGGATAAA